AAACGAAGACCTTTCTGCAGTTAGGCAGGAGGAAAAGCATTTCAAAGCGCTTCTCATTTTCTGAGGGGTGTTGAGGCGATGCTCCCTAATGTAGCCCTGAGATATCCAGAGAAAATCTTTCTCTGGGACTCTGTTGAAAATATACAGAAACCCCCCCCCCATTCATCGGGGAATAAAGCTGAAGAGGTTATTGTCCTACTTGAGGGGATTTTAGATGCATCTTAAAGGTGTATCTTAAAATGGGATTAGCAAATAATACTGTATATAATAATTTAGACTTGTTAGAAAAATAGGAATTAAGTCCCTTTAAAACAGCCTGATCTACCCCCTCCCCCCTCCCTCCCCCCCCCCCCCCGCCTAACCAAGCCACTCGGAGAAACTACCCGGAAAATGGGTTACCTCAAATATATTTTTGTTCTTTAAAACAAAAGACCCAATCCGGTGTTCAGGCAATAGTTGACAATACCTTGTGACTCTTAAGAAAGCCTTGTTTACCAAAACTCCTGGGGGCCTTTCACTGAAAATAACCTTTCATCTAAGTGAAACTTACTGAGCTTGTTGACAAATTTCCTCAGGGCTGGGCTACAGGTTCCTAGGCAAAAAGGAAGGTATGGAAAATATACAGAATTTTTCATCAGGTGCACCCAATAGTTTTAAAAAACATGCCTTGTTTTTCTTTCCTCTGGAGAACAAGGAAGTAGTGTTAGAAATATCAGATCTGTTTTGTAAAAGAATTATACCTCTTCAGACAAGCTAAATTATTTGGTAAACAGACTTGTTATTATAATGTCCTGGAAATTTCTATAACACTAGGAGCTGCCTCTTCATATTGCTATTGATGTGTCTTTTTTTCTCTTCTAACTGAAGAAGCTTTATAATTGTCATATCCTCATGTGTGTAATCGATTACAAACAGCTTTCAGGCCATTATCACACTGGTGATTTAGAGTAGTAGTGTTCCAACTCAGCAGATTTAAGGTGTGTGAACTGACTCTCAGAATTCCCTAGCCAGCATGTTGAAGTCCATGCATCTTAAGATGTTGAGTTTCAGAAGTACTGATTTAGAGTGTCACCCAACTATTATTGTGGAGATATAAAGTCAGTTCCATGAATGGTAAAGGCAGTAAACTAGAAATCAGGAGGTTTAAGCACAAAGCCACCTTGGCCACTTACTCATTCTCACCCCTGGGAAACAAGGCCAGCCAATTTTCAAAATCTTGCTAAATAAACGGCAAGAAACTGTCCAAGCGGTTGCTAAGTGTCAAAATTGTTTTGAAGGTCCTTAAGGAAAAAAGGCAATGCACTAATATCTGAGCAGGTTTCTCTCGGGTTGCACTCCTAATTCAGGTTGGTACGCAAACTTAAGAAAATGCAGGGTTCGGAAAGGCTAAAAAAAATTAAATCCGCATCAACAATGAAGCAGAATCACCTGTTCGCTGGGGGAGAATTTAGAGGTAGGCGCCTGTCTTTGTGCAGCAAGATCGGTCGATGTTTTGTTGCAAGTTCCCGTTCCCTCCTCGATTCTGGTCCCTGCCTGGAGATAGCCATCTACCTTCCACCCACATTCCCGCACGCAGCAAGTGGGGCTCCTGTGCTTTTGAGCACCGGCGCAGAGCAAACAAGAAAGGGCGAGGAAGCCTCGGGTTCTAGATATTTGTAGCTCCCCTGATCGCTCTCTCCTTTCGATCCAGGCACAAGGGAGGTCAAGAAGTCAGTGGGTCTCCGGGCGAGGTTGTGGCAAAGTAACTCTGGTCAGAAGATTACACGTTGTTCTGAGAAAGGAACTAGAAATGCCTCCCCCCCCCCCGCGCTGCTTGGGCTACTGCTGTGTGTCACAGATAGGGTAGGCCGCACCCCAAATCGTGATTGAATATTTGAAGAAGCACCGCGAATCACTTCATCCCATTCAAAACAGTGGAACTAAATTAAGGAGTAGGACCCAGAAAGATTTCAATTTCCGAGATTTTTTTTAACATTGGGCCATTGATTTAATGAAGGAGGGAAACATACCCCCCTCAAAAAGAGTCAGTGCAGGCGGCATAAACGACTGCTCGGCCAGCGGCCCCCTGCCTCATCAGAATGGTGGAGGCCACTGGCTGGGGGCAAAATCTGGCACTTCGAAGGGAGGAATCGCTTCTCCCCGATCCACTCCCTTCGCTTTCAATTGGAGACCGAAAAGGTACGTCCGAGGTGAGTCGAATGGAATCAGAGAGACATCTGCATGGAGATGGCAAGATTCGAGGGGGCGGTTTCTGAGTCTCGAGGTCGTGACAGACTGTCAGGCAGGCTCGCTGACCTGGTTTTCTAGCGAGGAAAGGGGTGGCCTAGAAGGGTGGGCGGAATTCCCCATCAACTAGCTGGCTCTCCTCTGACGTTGCTGTTTTTCGAAGGAACCCTGTTCGACTACTGATCTCTCTGAAAGGAACTCGGGACCCCTCTCCCCCTCCTTTGATCTCCTTTCTGGCGCTGTCCGTTGAAACCTTCGCGGGCTAGCAAAAAGAGCAGCTTCCTTGCCAGGAGGAATGACGTCTGGCTGACGCGGCTGTTCGTCTAACAGCAGCAGCAGCAGCAGCAGCAGCAGCAATACCTCCAGCGCGCCCAGTTTGGATCTGACTGCGCCCTGTGTCCTTAGAGTCACCAAAAGTCGCTCTAGGGCCCGGCCGTCTCAGCAGGATGAAAGGCTTCCGGTCGAGGCCAAGTTCCTACACTGCGGAGGAAGGGAAATGGCAAGCAGTAGTTCGTATATATCGGCGGCGCTGAGAAAAAAAGTTATTCTATTTTAATTAGGCCGATATAAAGTTCCGAAGTTGCTTTTCTTAGTTCGATTCTTATCCCCTTTCAATCAGGATTTATGATTCATTCACCAGCCATTGGATGGATCTGAAATCCGCATCTGTCTACCCAACTGTGTTCTTGGGTCGCCGCCATGACTCTTAAGCTTGCCTGTTCAGGAGCTAGCTCGGCAGTGCAGGAAAAACTCGCGTGAATAGGTACTGAGTTTCGCCACCAGGCAGGCAGCAGCTAAATCCAGGTCTCCCGTACCGACCACGTGCACGTTCACAAATCACACAAGGAAATAATTTAAACGTGATAGGAGAGGATTTCATGGAACTAAATGGGGTTGAGAAATCTGACGGTAGAATAATATACTCGGTAGAACAGAACCACAGACGGATAGATTTTAGAATATCACCAACTCTTACCACTAGAGACCGGAGTTACTTTAAATTACAAAATCTGACCGGTTCAATAGCGTTGGTTTTAAACCGACCAGGCGATCCTGAGCGCAACAGCCACTGACCTCTCCTTTTTTTATCCTATGGAAAGGAAACTCAAAAACAGAGCTGGGATCAAAAGGTCCCCAAAACCAAATTCCAGCTACTCCTTGAAAGAGCTGACCTTATGAAGCCGATTAAAAACAAAATTAAAAAAAAAACATATTTTAAATTTAACTCTGCTCTTAAAACATTTATCGTAACTTCCAAAAAATATTACTTGTGAGTCACCCAGCAGACTCCCACAATGCGAAATCCTGTACTCCGGATTGAAAAGCAAACTACTTTCAATATCCTCCGAGAGTCATTAAACTCGTTTGTTTACAACACCCATCTGGACTAGTATCCTGCTGTCCCTAGTGTTCAGCTGGATGATTTCTCACTGTCAAAAAAGATAATCCGCAACATCCTTCCCACTGTTTCTATTTTGTATTTTATTTTCGTTGTTTCTCACATAATCACAACTCTTAAGCCACCAATAGCATGAAAATTGGATCATATGGATATAGGTTTTTAGAAAACTATTTACTATAAGTAAAGAGTATAGTGTCTAAATGTGCCCGAGTCCAAGAATACAGACACATGGGAAAATAATACAGTAAATTACTATTATTTTAACCAGATAGTTTCCCCTCCCTCGCATATTTTTCTCATATTTGTAATGCGTCAGTTTTCGTAAGTGCTTCGACCTATGGGGCGAAATTGTCGCGAAATGTTAAATTAGAAAAAAAATTGCATGTTTTATTCACGCGGCAATTCTTCAGATTTCAAATAAAAGTCCAGGAATTCAATAGAGCTGGAACCTAAGTTGTCGCTAAATTAACCTGAGGCTTTCTTCCAGCCGACGCGAGGGTTTGATCGGGGGAAGGGGCGAGAAAAGAGGGGAAGGGCGCACCAACGCCGGGGCTTTTGTTTCTTCCCGGGAACAGCTGAACTATGACTGCTCGTTCGGGTTCGGTTTTCTTTCAGCTGGGCAGAGGAACTTCACGCCTTTGTAGTCTGGCTGTAGCCTGGGGGCTTGGACCGTAGAGCTGCTTTTTGTTTTGTCTGGAGGCGGAGAAACAGACCCGTTGATTCCTCTCCTGCCGTTCGCCGCCGCCGCCGCCGCTTCTATTTATTATTTTTTTTAAGGGATTTGGCTCTTTGGCAAACACCCTAAGGAATGAAATCACGTGGTCCCAAAAGGGGCGGGGTTTACTGTCCAGAGGACGGGGGGAGGGCCCTTTTGTTGATTTCCCTGCCTTCCCTCTCGTAGTTCAGCTGCAGGAGGAGGGGCGGCTGCTCCGAGAAGCTCTGCTTGGAGTCTGTTATATACATATGTGTATATTTAAATTGCAGCTTGAGCAGTATAAACGAGACGAGGGGTGTCCCCACTCTCTCTCCTTTCTTCCGTCCCATATTTTGCTGCTCCGGTGCGCCCCCCTAGAAAGGATCCGGGATCAGGTAGGGCTTGAACACTTTCCGCTCCCAAACCAATCCTCCTTTCGCCCGGGAGAGCTCTCGCTGGCCCCGGGCGGTGCCCTTCCTCTTCCCCTTCTCCTCTCTCTTTATCACTCAGTCGCTCCTGTTCGCCGTTTTCTTCCTTTCCCCCTCCTCACTTCTTATTCCTTTCAAAATGGCCGATCTCTCTCTCGAAATTTGTTAGCCCTTCTCGGCTTTCTTTGTTGTGGTGGTGGTTGTCAGCGGGCAGCGGGGGGGGGGGGGTTATTCACTGCTGAGAGGGATGCTGCGGATGGTTTTTCAAAGTAGCCTCTTCGGATTTCCTGATTTTGGAATCATATGAGCCCCATCCCCTCGCCGCCCTCCCCCGCCTGGCTTTGCAGCTAGGGCGCAGGGCGGCAGCTCCAGTTCTCTTTCGCTGGTGCCTTTCGGCAGCAGCCGGGGGCTTTCAGGGCCTTTGAACTCGATAGGCCTTTTCGCCAACAGCTGGAACGGCGGGAACTGAGCCCGCTTGCTACAGAACGGAATGTGCAGTGGGGGCTAGAAAGCCCACTGGACTGAGACTAAGCCTTGACAGGCAGCAGCCTGCAGTCGGCAAGCTGGAATCAAAGGCTCGGCCGGGGATCCCTCCTCTCCCGCAAGAAGAGAGGGGCAACTTGCGAGATCCAAATGTCGGGTGCTTGGTGAGCAAGTATGCGCGCACTTTGTCCTAGGCCCGAGTGACGTCTCTCTCTCTCTCTCTCTCTCTCTCTCTCTCTCTCTGTGTGTGTTTTGTGTGTGTGTGTGTGTTGTGTGTGCGCGCGCGCCCGCGCGTATTTGCGAGGAGGGGGAATAAGGGGAAATGTAGTCAACTCTTTTTAAGAGACGGGTTTCCAAAACTCGTGTCTTCCAGACCACTCGGACTACAATATCCATAATCCTAAGTCACTTCGATAGCTGGGGAAGCGTGTAGTCCACAGAGCTTGGAATTGCCAGGATGCGTTGGATCTGATAAATGGGAGCTTGGCTACAGCCACAATATGGCGCATTACGTCGAGAAAACTCGGGAAGGGAGGGAGAAGGAAGAATGTAATATTTCGCTTTGCATTGAAGCAGAAAGATTTTGTGATATGCCTGCCTGCCCGTCTTTCTTTCATCTCGGGCCGCAGCGGGTTAAAAAGTCTGATCTGGAAAATCTAGAAGCGAGAATCCTGGCGCTAGAAAGGGTGTCTGTCATTCCTAAATCACGTGGGAACACGCTTTTCGGGGGTGGGGGGGATGAAAGAAACTTCCTGGGGATTTTATGGGGAAGAGGCGTGAAAGAAGCGGGAAAAAGCAGAGTAAAGGTTGGCCTTTACTGTCGCGAGGTTTGCCGGCTGAAGGATGCAAGAAAAAGAGAGAGAGAGAAACCCCGCCGCGTCCCTGCTGGAAGACCAGCTGGAAGGAATGAAACAAACCTGGCTTAAGCGGGGAGGGGCTAGTGGGAATTTTTCAAGGGTGCCGACTATTAAATGTGGGTCCGGTCTCTGTGCGCTGCGGTCCTTCCCTCCCCCGTTCTCTCCAGACGTTGTTTGGACAATGACCGCGCTGTCTCTCAAGGCTAGAAATGGGTGTGAGTCCTGATAAATTCCACCACAGGGAAATTCCGGGTGGAGAAACAGAACATCAACGGAGATGGAAATAGAAATAATTAATCTTCCTGAACGTTAGTTGTCCATTCTTCCTCACAAAATTCATTTTCCTGTCTTGAATTCTGATGCTTTTTATTTTCTTTTTTGCTAAAGTGGTAATTTCTGCTTTAATGTGGAAAACGGATATTTTGTTTGTTGCAACAAGTTAAGGAGTAGAAATAGATCTTGTTTTCTAGTATTCAAGAAAGGAACCGTATTTCTTGCATTGAAAGGATGCATAGGTGCCCATATTGTATATCTATGGATAGAATAATGGTAACCATCTTTTACATTTTCTTTGAAATGTCAGGGGGGTATTTTTAAGTTTAAATTAAACAAGGAATTACGTGCCACAACATCATTCCGTTATTCACCTTAATTTGGAGGAAAGGAGTCTGGGGTGCTTGGAAAGAACAAATTGGCTCCCTTTTAACTTTTGAGGGAAAACATTTTGGTTTTGTCTTTGGTCTTTTGCCTTAAATTTCGAAGGACGAATTCTCTAGAAAGTCTTTTTAGAAATCCTTCTCTGTAGAAATTAAATTTAATTTCTCCAGAAATTAAAAAAGCATCTGAAATTCCCGCTGACACAAATAAATCAGTCCAAAATTCTGTGCTTAATGAAGATGAACCTATGTTCTTGTGTATCTTTGTTACCATTCTTCCAATGTTTTCTCGAGTCTATCTTCTTTTCAGTTTTGTTGCAGCTCTTATTGCTTTAAGGTAAAGTGTATGTTTCTTGGGACTTTCCTCATATGTTGGATTGAATTCCACCCCTGAACCTCCTTGAATGAAAGCTGAGGGAGAAAAGTAGTTGGAGCCAATGCTCCAGATTGATAGATTATGTATTCATTTGTTTGTTTTGGAGGGTGCCTCTTCTCCTGCTCTGTTCCCCCTGTCCCTTCCACCAGAAGATCAATCCATGAACATGAATGGACTCAGCTACCTCCCTCCCCCCAACTGTAACAATTGGCGTTTGCCTTGTATAGTGGCTTGGGGGAGATGGAGAAAGAGGTAGTTCTAGTTCTGGGATGAGAGGAAAAGTCTCAGAGAACCTTCCCCAACGAGGCACTACAGGTACTTGAACTATCCCTCCCATCGCGTCCAGAAAGCAGCTCTACGGTATGGTCAGGGAGGTGAACAAGTGTTTAGGGTTTGGGGAACATTTTATTAAGGAAGTGACGCTGTCAAGCCCACTCACCATGCGCGCCCTCCAGGAAAGAATAAGCTGTTTGTTTAAAGCAGCTTTCTCCAATCTGGTATCTTCCAGATGTGTTGGGCTACTTCGTTCATAAATCCAAGATTGCATGGCTATTGGAAGGCACCAGATTCGGGAAGGCCGGATTGAGTTCTTCCAGAAGAATAAATTAGGTAGCGGCTGACATAGTCGCAGCGTTTCTGCGGCGTGTGGTCGATTTCTCAGGTGGCGCAATGCACACATTGCGGAAAAGATTGCAATCCGATGTGCTCTGAATGAGGGGCTTCAATACCGAGAGGTCCGTCCACACAGTGATGAACGGGAGGATCAATCAGAGCAGATGTCGCTTCACCGGCCAAAGCTGGACCCGCTCCAACATTTAGTCTTCTCGCGCCAATACAGCTAGCTCTGCAGCCAGGCTAGATGGGACTGATCCCAGCCGCGGGTCAACCATCCGCCGACGCGTGGGCTGACCGGATTCTACCTTCCCACTTGGCTGGGAGAAATAGCCAATAGGAGATGGGCACCTCTAGAAATAGGGGAGGGTGGGCATCGCGCTATTTAGCATGGGAAGCTTACCAGAATTGCGGATGGAAGGCGGTACTCGTGGGGGTCAGGCAATGGATCCCACTCAGGGAGAAAGAACTGCTGCTCCTTCTCCTCAAAGGGTTTCCTCTGATCACCTTTCGGCTGCAAGTCCCTGGGGAGCGGCTACCCGAGAAACAGGGATCCGCCAGCCTCTTGGAGAGGGGCATTTCGGCGTCAGGCCCCCATCTCTCGGCGCCGGGTGTGTCTGTGTCAGCGTGAGGCACACAATTCTACAAGAAGACGCCCACTGAGCCCAAGAATCAGAACTCTGGTAAGTAACTCCGGCGCTCTCGCTCTCTCTCCCCCACCCTTCCCTCTGTCCCTCCTTTCCCCCCGCCCCCAAGAAAACCAGTCGCAGCCTCTTTTCCAAATCCTCTTTTCCCCGCTGGAGGAAATAAACCGCGAGTTTTCAACCAAATGGAATTCCCAGTAGAGGCGGCTCCAGCGGCTTGAGGCCTCTCCCCTTCTTTGAATAACGTTCACACTATCAGAGCGCAGCTGGGAATCTTCTGACTGGCTAGATTGCCGCTTCCATCTTTCCGGTGACGATCGGAAAGGAAGGAGACCAAACGTTTGGAGGGCGCCAGCTTTTCTGCAGCGCCCCCATGGCCCTGAACCAGCCCAGATGGTCCCTTCCCCTCGTGCCGCCCTGTTAGACTTTCGCTCCCTGGGAACGGGAGCGGGTCGTATATTTGTTGATTTTGAGGAGCTGCACTTCGCCTTTCAATCCGGCAGCTTTCCAGGTGGTTTTAGGGCAGAGGGCAATACTATTTAAATTCGGAATCAGTATCACTATTGCCCGGGATATAAATCCCATGAATTACTTTTAATTCAATTGACTCTTAGAAAACGGGTGCAGTGCAAAGATGGCGTCCCTTTTCCTCTTGCGGAGAGTTGTATATGGGGAAGTGTGTGTTTGTGTGAGTGAGAATTGCATCATCTTGGCTGAAGATCTCGGACTTGGTTGGGTCGAAAACAAACACTTTCTCTCTGCCCGGAGCTGAACAACGTTAAAAAAAAAAAAAAGGCGAATGGAAACTGTGGAGCCTGATGACCTACAACTGGGGACTGTGAAGCACCACCATTTTTCTTGTCAATAATGTTGTACTGGGAAAAGAACTTCTCTGCCTTTTAACAGGGTCAGACCTTTTCGCTTTCTAAGTGCTGAAAGTGATGCAAACTCTGCAAATTCTCGGTGGCATTTACAACTTTCTACACTAAATTCTGTGCCAACAAAACATTTTTTTCTGGAAGGCTTGGGGGGGGACCCTCTTTGCATCCCACATTCGGTTGTGAAAGAGGATGTACATTGTTTAGTCCAACTTGAAAAAATGTGCATGTTTGAGCAAGGGAAGCATAACTTAGAGATACCTCAAACATATTTAGCCTGGTGATTGCAGCATCTTGACATTACTTCCCTCAGTTCAGAGCATCCCACAGCTTAGGCCCTAACTACTCAATTTCAGTTAAAACCCAACAACAAAAGAAGTAGGTAACTTCAGAAGGCATGAATGGATTTCTGGAGCCCATCCCCCCCCTGCAGGTAACCTTCTATAATTTGATAGAGGGCTCTGTCTCCAGCCATTTTGAAAACAAGATGAAGAAAGCTTGCCTCAGATTGGAAAAGACAAGGGAAGTGCTTTTAGCTTCTAGCTTCCAGGCCACAGGGGTAAAATAAGATAAGATTATTATCATTTTTTTACTGTGGGCACAATGGCATTAAATGAAATTTAGTTGCCCTCACCCAAAGTAAAACACATACATGACACACATCTAAAACATACTATGTACAACATATGTATAGACCCACGCCCCTACATATATATAGCAAATAAATATTAAATACTATCCATCTTGAATATATAATGGAAGGAGGAAGCTTGAGAAGTCACAAGTTACATTTTTTTCCATTACCACACTGGGATCTCTTCATTCCCTACTCCAAATTGGCCCCTGAGGGTTTATCCCTGAATAAAAATATTAGGTAGGGAAACAGCAACTTCCTTATTTTCTTTAGGGAAAAAACCCAATGTAAAAAACCCCAAGATGTATTTATTTGCAAGTAAATGGCACTGGATTTGGCTGCATATTTAAGAAGGCCTTTTGAGGCAGTTTCTGGAACAATTATATTTGTAATTTATAGATGAGAATAAGAGTTTGGCAGGTATGGTGGGAGAAACAAATTGAACAATGAAAATAACTCCAACCCAAGAAAGTAAAGCACTACCAATGAGCTGCATGCTGGATTAGC